TTGCAGCACTGCGCGAAGCAGCAAGAGACCCGGGCGGGCCCCTGAGCAAGATCTGCGCCCTCCTGCCCGTGAGGGCGCTGACCTACGCCCTGCTGCCCTGCACGCTGCCTGTGGAGGTGGCCTTCCACAGCCTCCGGAGGTGAGCGCTCGGGCCGGCCTGGGGTGGCGGGGGCGCGGGGTCTGAGGGAGCCCCTAGGAGCCTGGCGGCGACCCCCGCGGCCCCGTCTCCTGCCTCTGGAGGCCTGCACCTCCCCCTGCACCTGCAGGCCTAGAGGGGCGCGGGGCGGGCGTCTCCGCAGAGGGCTCCACTCTCCTCCCGCCCACTCCGCCCATCCGCTGGCCAGCCCCGCCCAGCCCCGCCCAGCCCCGCCCAGTGCTGCTCTGCCCCTGGGGCCTCCCGGCCGCCCGACTGCGAGGTCCGCTCAGGTGTGGCCGGACCCGGGCTCTGGCATCAGCACGGGCTGCGGGAGGCAGCTGGCCTGCCCCGCCCCTGTGGGATGCGGCCCCTGGGCAGCGAGTCCGGGGAGGTGGCCCCTTTCCCTCCTCATCCGTCCCGCACTCTCCCGAGCCGAGAGCCACCGCTCTGCGCCGGGCTTGGGGCCGGCTTGCCTTTGCCGGGCTCCCCAAGCGCTCGCCAGGTGGGGATCGGGTGGGGGGGTGCGGGCGGGCCCCGGTGTCCTTCCTGCCCGGGCTTGCCCTCAGGCCGGGGACTGAGCGTCTCGGTTGCTCCCCAGACTGGTGCTGTGGGTCCCCCACATCCCCGAGGACCTCCCGTGGCTGCGGTGGGTGGCCTCCCGGGCTCGCGTTCTGCTGCTGATGCACCTGTTCCCCGCCGCCAGGTAGATGACGCGCTGCGGGGGGTGGGCACCCCGTTCACCCCGGCAGGCCTGGCAGCCGGTCTGGAATGTTGGCTGAGCCTGGAGGGCGCGGCACTGGCCCTGAGGCAGGACCCTCTCTCCAGAGGCCGGGGAGGGTGCGGGTGTGGAGGCTTCGCCGGGCCTGTTGGTGCAAATTCCCACCTGACTTCGGATATGGGGTGCCCCACCCAGCACCCTGCCTCCTAGCAGGACCCAGGGGCGCTGCTACCTTTTAGCTCTGGCTCCAGAGCAGAGCAGGGAGCCTCAGGGCCAGCTCCCCCTCAAGGCCGGGGGCTCGGCCTCTGCTGTTCCCAGGGGTGGGCCTCACCAGCTCCCTGGTTTCGCTGAGGCTTTGGGGAGCCCCTGTTCTGCATTAGAAGAGTGGTGGGCCTCCAGACAGCCTCACCTGCAATGGCTGGTGGTGGTTGTGGAAGAGCTGAAGGAGGGGCGCAGGCGCTCGGTTTGAGTAAGTGACCATGCTGGCCTTGGGGCAGCAGCTCAGAGAGAGGCGGCTGCCCTGGTCCGGGCCAGGATTGGGGGGGGGGGTTGGCCTCGGCACCGGGCCAAGTGGCGTCCGCAGGCGCCAGTCCCAGAGCGCCCAGGTAGGCGGAGGAGACTGGGGCAGCGGGCTGCGGTGGATGCTGGCTGGGGTGGGCGTGGAGGGTCAGTGCGCTGGTGGGCCCAGTGGGAGGTGTCCAGGTGACTGGGAAGTCTGCTGCTTGGAGGCCCAGGAGGTGACTGGCCCAGCACCCGGGGCAGAGGCGGCTGACTATGGTGGGGGAGTTCTGGGGCACATGTGGGCCATGCGCCCCCATGTCCCCTCTGAAAGGGTAGTAGGCTGGCCGCTGAGTCCACGTTCTGCTTATTTCAGGTGGCAAGAAGCCCCAGAGCACAGCACAAAGCCTCCCCCGTGTGACCCAGAAGACAGCGGGCACCTCTGGCCTCCCAGCCCCCCTGCAGACCCCGCTGCCCACCCTGAGGACTGTCCAGTGGTGTCTGGAGCCAGGTCTTCCTGTGCTTCCTCCCTCCAAGCTGGCGTGGTGGGCAGCCAAGCTTCTCCTATGGCTGGGGCTGGGGGGGACCCCCCGCCCACCCCTTCTCCAGTGGAAGAGATACTCTGAGGCGGGGCCCCGGGAGCGGAGGGCCCTGCCCGCAGGGGCTGGGCCTTTCCAGGTCCGCACAGCCCTGTGTCGCCTGTGTCTGCGACGTACCGCCGGCCTGCGCCGAGCTCACCGGTACTGAGACTAGGGTGACCGGACCAAGCTTTTCTGGCAGCTGGGAAACTACTTTCGGCCCAAGGTCCAGGGGCCCTGACATTGAAGCCTCTGGGCCCCTGGCCCCTGGATGGGAGCGGCAGGTGGCCTGCCGTGGGAGGGGCCTCCTGACTCGGGCTCGCTGCCCTGAGGTCCCGGGCGAAGTTCCCTGGAGGGCCATGTGGCCCTAGCGGTGCACAGGAGAAGTGTGATTCTCCCCCCAGGAGGCAGCAAGGTTTGGGGGGGGGGGTGATTTCTCCGAGAACACTGCAACCACCGCTTGGCTGGGGCGTGGGGAGACGACACCCCGTTTACATGTTGGGGGACCCTTTTGACCCACCTAGCCAAAACACTGGGTAGTTTGTGTGAAGTACGTGGGAGACTGGCCCTCCCTGGCGGCGCAACAGGTTAAGACACAGCACTGTGGAACTGAACGCAGCCTCTGCGGGGCAAGTTCAATCCCCGACCAGGGGGTGACCCCTCCTGTCTCCCCGCTGCCCCCCTCAGCAGTGTGTCTCAGTGGAGCCGCTTCTGCTCCCTGCTCTGTCTCTGGGGAGTCCTCTCACCCCTGCACCCCTGGCCTGTACTGCAGTTCTTGCACGCAAAAATCAATCCACCTTTAAAAACACAGACGGAGTCTGATATCTGTTGAATTACAGGTCATGTGAATCTGTGAGAAAAGTCCCAGCCAAACATCTAGTGCCCCCCCACAGGCCCCACGCCCCAAAGGCAAGAGGTCGGCCCCAGGCCGCAGAAAGCTTGGCTCCTTACGGGGTGCCTCTGCTTGAAGGGGCGCATTTGCTGGTTGCAGTCTGCCTGCCCCCTTCCTTACTGCTCCCCGCGTCTCTGTCCTCTGGCCGCCCCAGCCCGGTCGGAGGCCGCTAGCAGCAGGCCGCGCCTCGCCCAGGAGTGTGGGTTGGAGCAAGGTCAGGCGCGGCACAGATGAGCAGTTCAGGGGGTGTGGCTTTTGGGTCAGGGCCTTTCCGGCCGTCCTCAACTGTGACCTGGGGGCCGCCCCGGCCGGCTCAAGCGCAGAGTGAGCAGGCTCCCGCGGGGAGCGCCCCGACAGTGGGCCAACCCCAGCAGGGCTCAGTGTCTACAGAGCTGGGGGGACTGGACGGCACCCCGCCCCCACCCCTGCGACCCAGCCTGGCTCCCCTGGGCCCTCAAGTTCCTGGCCGCTTTCTCTGGAGCCCAGCGGAAGGCCAGCCCTGCCCTCCGCTAGCCCCGCGTTCCCAGCGACCGGCGGGGTGCGCAGCTGGGAGAGCTGTCAGCGCAGGTGGGGTGCAGCCCTGCTTGCTTACGGGCGGAAATTATCCAGCTTGCCTCCAGTGGGCCTGCGTGCGACACGTTCTCTACAGCGTGCGCTGAGACACCTAGAGATGGCTGAGCCCTTTGCCGCCGGGGCCTGAGGCCGGCCCCAGACCCGGCCCGGGCGCTGCGGGCGTCTGGCCCGCACGGGGAGAAGCTGCCGCCTTGTGTTTGCACGCAGCTGTGCGAGCAGAGCAGCGCACGGTCTGCTTCGTGCCAGGAGCCCCTGGCACGCGCCGAGACAGAAAACAGCGTGCACAGGTGTTTGTAAACCCGACAGGCTCTGGCCAAGCGACAGCCGCTTGGTCAGGCCGTCGCCCAGCCGGCCGCCCCTGCTGTGCTCCTGGTCTCCTGGACCTACAACGGCGAACGTGTGTGGCTTTCAGAGTAATTCACAGCGTGACGCCAGTGCGGACCAGCCGGTCCCACAGACTTGTCACCTTTCTGCCACCTTTCTGCACTCCTGCTGCACTCTGGGGCCTGCTCCCGCCGGCCTGCTGAGTCTGCAGAGTTGCTCTGGTGAGGGCGTCCGCCCCAGCCCCCACTCTGGCTCAGAGGCAGGCCTACCTGTTCACCTACCCGGCTGCTCCTCTTGGCCACCCCTCGGCCCCACCCCAATAGCACCCGGCTAGTGCCGGGGGTTGGGGGGCACCCCATCGGTGAGCAGTGCTGTAGCTATGGACTCTCAAGAACTACAATGTGCCGACCGCTGGTGCAAGGGTGTGAAGGTCCAGCATCCCCTGTAGGTGACCTGGGACTTGCTTTCGAGTCTATCGAGGGACGGTCACTCCCTGTGCCTGGCTCTTGGGACATTGGCAGCAAATTCTGTTTCCACCCCAGGGGCCAGATCAGTATGCCCACACCAGGTTTTCCAGACTGCTGGTGCCCTAGGTGACCTCAGGACGCGAGGGCTCCACTGCTTTAACAAAAGTCCCGAGAGGTTTACTTCTCACTCAGGCAACTGGCCTGCCCGACAAGGTTATGGCTGCTGTCATCGCCAAATTAAAACCCCAAGCGCCAACCCTCGCCCTGCGGGCAAGTCTGGAGTCTTGCATGGGTAAAGGGAGTGATGGAAGCGCCAGGGGAACCTGCATTTGAGCTGACCCGGGGTCACCCTGCCCGGGGCCTCGCTGCTCCGACAGCAGATCCCCCTGCTTCCCTCAGCTCGTCTCATCGTCTGCGCTTCTGTTCCCCGCTGGGTTCCTTCGGCCCGCGGCGGCGGCCTAGCCCTGATTCCGCCAAGCCAGCGACCCCGTCCGATGCTCACAGCATGGGGTCAGCGCTTCGGGGGGTCACGGACGGGCACCCGGGATGGATGGAACCAGGGGGGCCAAGACGCGGGAGGGCCCGCCAGCGCGGGGTGCAGTCGCGGCGGAGCTGCCCGGCCGGCGGGAGGGCGGCGGTGCGGGCGCCGGGCTAGCCCTCGCCTGCCAGGGGAACCCAGGGGTCGACGTCGGGACGCCCGGGCTGCCCCCGCCCGCCGGGCCCGCAGCCTCCCAGGCCGCCCTCCAGCCGCCGTAGCCTGTCGGCTCCCTCCGACGCTCTGCGCTTGCGCCCTCTCCGGACCGGGCTTCCCGGCGTCCCCCTGAACATCCGGGTCACAGCTGCCTGCGACCAATGAACGGCGGCGTTGTGGGGCAGGGGGCGGGGCGGGGCGGGGCATCATGGCGGCCCCCAGCGCTCCGCGCCCGGGGGCTTGTGGGTGGCGCACAGACGGGCAGCGCCGCCACTGACCGGCCGTCAGCCCGCGGGGAGGAGGCTCGGTCGCGCCGGGCAGCTCTTGGAGGCGGCGGCCGGAGAGGGAGCCATGGGCACGGTGCACGCCCGGGTGAGTCACCCCCGCCCGCGGGCTGCGTGACCTCTGGGCGGGCGCCGCGGGGAGACGCTGC